AGGGAAGGGAAGGGAAGGGAAGGGAAGGGAAGGGAAGGGAAGGGAAGAGAATTCTTTTATTGGCCAAATGTGATTGGACACACAAGGAATTTGTCTTCAATGCATAAGCTCTCATTGTACATAAAAGCTATCAGTGCTAAATGATGATCATAAGCATCATAAAAATACATTCATCATAAATCATAAGATGTAACACTTAGTGATAGAATCAACATTAATTGTGCTAGAAAAGCAAATAAAACAATATAAATTGTAAAGACACAAGCAACAAAGTTATGGTCATAAGTAGAAAAGGAGATAGTAATTAAAGCAACTAATTAATACATATTGAGTAATACTCACAGCAAAATCATCAAAGTTGTTTGGCCAATATTCCAGTTGTTCAAAAATGCCACATTTGAAAGTTGTATTTACAAAGCTATAATAGAATAATGAACAACTCAAAGTTATTTCATCACTGTATGCAATGTGGCCCTGCACAGATCAAATGCTAAATTAGCGGATTCTTTTACCATAAGTATACTTTTAGATTTCTTAAAATGAAGAGGAAAATTAAATCTGGAGATTTTAAAAATGAAGACAAGACAAAAAAAGAAAAAAAATAAGATGCTTCAGAGCTAAAAGAATATAGTGAGAAAAATAAACAGACAGCCAGATGTTGCAGAGCAGAAGCATTAACTTTAAATTCAAGAAATATTGGTATTCCTCAACTTACAACTCCAACTGGGACTGGAATTTCTGTTGTAAGTCATGGCAGTTTTAGGTTGAGTCAGCCCGATTTCTATGAGGGTTGTTCATGGAGTTGTTAAGTGGATGCAGCTCCCCCAATGCACATTTTTGGCCGAAAATTGGCAGAAAAAGATCACAATTCACGTGATTGCAGGATGCTGCAACTGGTGGTAAATGCAAGCCAGTTGTTAAATGCCTGAACCGCGATCACACGACTGTGAGGGTAGTGTGAAGGTTGGAAGCGCAAATACAGATTGTAATTCATTTTTTCCCAGGCCGTCTGAATCATCGTTAAATGAACCTTCATAAGACGAGGACTACCTGTAGTGTTAGCAGGGCCTTAAAACGAGAAATCATTTCAGTCCAGAATCCTTTCCTTTGCAAGGACTCTACTCTAAAGAAGCTATCTTTAAAGAAGAAGAAGAAAATACATCTGTACCCAATTTCAATGATTTTTCTTCATTATGATGAAATTATAACCGGGTTTTACAAAGCTTGACTTTCAAGCACAGTTGAAATCTTAGAAAAACCCTTGTTAAAGACTTCCACAAAAGAGCAAACTGGCCCATGAGAGCAATAAGTTCTTATTTGCACGCTTTTAAAGAAAAAGTGCCTGAAGAATCCACATATTTGAATTAATAATAATAATAATAACCAGTTGCCCAGAAATATATCAGTTAGTAATGTTTATGGAGATTCTCAGTCATTCAGGTCATGATTTTCCCAAAGGTGCTTTTTTCAAGAGGCAACTGGACTTTCTGATTTTTCTTTGAAGATATTTTGCTTTTCAT